GTATGAAACAAAAAAGGCAGTAAGTTCAACGTTCATGGCAAATTATGTTCATAAATTATTATTACAACACAACTGCATTATTAATAATTCAATGTAAATTAGTTTCTGCAATCATTAATACAATTATGATTATATTAAAAATAATTAAATGTAATTTAATTGCTGTAGTAATGAAGTATAATACAATAGACACAATCTACTTATGTAGGAAATAATTGAATGCAATTGCACTGCTCCTATTCGTCACGTTCTCCAACAGACGATTGTTTGAAAACCAGGAAATAAAGAAGTCAACCCCTGGAATACTACGTGACGCGTGGGTTGGCTGACTCCAGATCAGGATTGGGTTAAAGGAAGTGGGAGACAATACGTCGCCAAAACATCTGATGTACCGTGCCAAGTAGGAGACACACGCTGCCTTTTATATTACATACTTCCGCACGGTTAGACTGCTCCCCTGTTGCAATGCTATTCTCAATCGTCAGTTACGAAAACTACTGTTTACAAAGAATGAAATCGCACCTGAACTACTTGTACAATACTTTATAAACCATAGTATTTCTACAAATAAGTTTGCAATGTTTCAAGTCAAACAGGTATCGTGTAATAAAATCTGTCATAAAAGAAAACGATTTTTATGATATCTCAGTTTCTATTGAAAAAATTATGAAGCGAGGCAATATTTATACAAATAAATGTACAAAGTTTCAAATAAATATCTCAATCAAGTTCTATAAGATTTTTATTTAATAAGTATCACTAGTTGAATACTGTTCTAACTATCTCTGTACACTATACAATACTTAACAAAAAGAAGTTTCTCACCTTGCCCCAGTCTGGCCGCAGCCTAACAGCATGATCGGCGTCCGCGAGGGAGGCTTGAGGCCTCTTCAGCAGGAGTAAAACGTGAGCCCTGTTGCTAAGATGGAGTGGGCTGTTTGGCGCTGAAACAGGAGGAAACACAAACGTAAAGCATCAGTAGAATATTGCCCAACGCGGATGGCAGTTTTCTTGGCAACGAGATCGTAGTCCCCTGCGTCCACGTGTTTCAATCAAAAACCTTTCCCCTGATTAAACTGAGAAAAAGATTCCATAGAAACCATTGAACTATTTCTCCAGCAAAACTAGATATACATATGTATTTATTAGTTTTTTTTTCATTTTTCATATGTTTAAATGAATGTCATAC